CCACATGCTAGGCTGTAATTGAGCATAATTATTACTCTGCATGCTGCAAAGTGCTGGACTTGAGGCATCCTACAGAATCCCATTAATTTCTTGATTGGACTCTGAAAAACGGTGCCCCCCACAGGGCCAGAGAGAGCTGTGCTTAGTCTGTCTGGTCTTCAAATGAAGTCACTGGCTGTCCAGTTGGCTGATGTTTCCCCCTAACTCTGGGGTCTCTGTCCGTAATCCAGGACTCCACTGTCAACACACTTGCTTAGAATTCTGCTATGGTATCGTCTCAGCCTTGCAATGTTTCCACATAGGAAAACTGAAATGGACAATGGAAGAATTCATATTCTTCAAACACACACCTAAAATATGCCCAGAATACAAAATAAGCCATTTGTAATTATCTGGTTATTTCAAGTGAGAGGTTTGAAAAAAGGCTAAATTATTTGGGTAATTGCCTTTTCCTTTTGATTTGACACATAATAATGACCCAAACTTCAGCTATGCTACTTAGAAGCTCTCGGGAATGTAGGATTCTGCCTCTTCCACCTGGCATTATGTAGTAGACTACGTGGGAATGTGTCTGTCCACTCCTAAATATCCTCCAAGCTTAGGTATATTTTCTGAACACAACTTAAGTGTGCTAAAATGGTTTCAATTGTTCATTGTTAAAATATCTTTCCAAAATGTTTGTGTCTTGTGTCCTGCCTTCATAAATACAACCTGTGCAGCAGAAATTAATGTTTGCTGATTAAATTTGTCCAGCCTTTCCAGGGTCTTAGTCTTGATCATTAAATCTCACTGTTCAGTCTGTCATTGTGAAAAAAATGAAAACTGGGATGAATGCTCACTGACCCCAGTACTGTTTTTGGAAGAGGCACATTTTATTTATTTTTATTTTTTTTATTATTATTTTTTTACAATAAGTTTTCTATCTTTTTATTTTATAAGCTCTTAGAGTTTCTCTGATTATAAATAAGAAGTTTAATTAATATAGTCACCTTAAACATACAACTTCATTAAAAATATCCAAATACCAACCTGAATAAATATTTTCTTTCAGATCAGTATTTAAGGATAACCAGGGAAATGTGGACAGAGACTCAAGATTTTCACCACTGTAGAGACAAGAAAACAGCAAGATTTCAACTGAGGACCTAATAAAACTAGTGTCAGATTATAGGAGGTATGGATTTTTATACTCTTGAAATTCACATAAATTAGCCATGTTGATTTGTTATTGCCTCATAAATACCTGAGGATCTGATTTCTCGAATGCTTAAACCTCGAGAAAGCAGATATTTTTCAGGTGACTCCACATATGCCCAAATAGTGCCACAAAAGTAAAAACTGCTAGAATTATATGGAAGAACTGTGAAATGTTAAACTATGTCAGTTATTTCTTGCTATGTAACAAACCACTTCAAAACTTAATGATTTAAAATAATAACATTACTATACTAATTGTGCTCCTGAGTCCACAATTTGAGCACATCTGAGTGAGAAGAGCTTATCTCTGCCACACAAGGCATGGGCTGAGAGAGATCAGCTGGGGTCAGAAGATCCACTTATTTATTTATTTTTTTTTTAATTGCATTTTAGGTTTTGGGGTACATGTGAAGAACATGCAAGATTGTTGCATAGCTACACACATCGCAGTGTGATTTGCTGCCTTCCTCCCCTTCACATATATCTGGCATTTCTCCCCATGCTATCTCTCCCAAACTCCCCACCCCCCACTGTCCCTCCCCCATTTCCCCCACAGACCCCAGTGTGTAGTGCTTCCCTCCCTGTGTCCATGTGTTCTTATTGTTCAACACCCGCCTATGAGTGAGAACATGCGGTATTTGATCTTCTGTTCTTGTGTCAGTTTGCTGAGAATGATGGTTTCCAGGTTCATCCATGTCCCTACAAAGGACACGAACTCATCATTTTTGATGGCTGCATAATATTCCATGGTGTATATGTGCCACATTTTCCCTGTCCAGTCTATCATCGATGGGCATTTGGATTGGTTCCAGGTCTTTGTTATTGTAAACAGGAAGAGGTACGTTTTAAATGATCAAGACTAGATACTAGATTTTGTTTTCTCATGACTTCTCTTTTCTCTTAATAGAAAGAATGCCAAGTATCCAGTTAACCGAAGGTTTCTATTATGTGCATTCCAGTGAATTTAAATGCTGCTGAATTTTAGGTGGTCTGGAAAAGTCAAATGGTTGTTGTGGCTCCAGTGTCTTTTTCTATAGCAGGAAATTTCCTGTGACTTTCTCAGGAAGCCTCACTTCTTACTACCTCTGGTGGAGGTTAGGGAAGAATTTCTTCTTGCCATCTTGCAAAGATGGCAGCCATGTCTGCCATGCTATGGATTCAGTAGGCTATCAAATCATTTTTATGGAAAACATATTTGGAGTTCCAGCTCTGAATTTGGAAAACTGGGAACCTATCTCTGTCTCAGCTTCTCGATGTGGATAGCAAGAAAAGATTCCAGTGTTTTCCCCATCATCCATGCCCTACCTTCACCCCCGACCTTGCATATTGCAGAACTGTACGTATACTGGTTGATCATGTCATGAAGGAGGCTGCTGGTCTCTATTTAGTGTCCAAGTCCACTCCCTCTGTGAGTAAGTATACATGCTAGAAATCTTTTCTTCTAGCATATTATTGGTGTTGAACACTATTTGTGGTGACATTTATTTATTTATGTAGAGATGAAATCTCACTCTGTAACCCAGGCTGGAGTGCAGTGGTGAGAGCTCGGCTTGCTGAAACCTCTGCCTCCCAGGTTCAAGTAATTGTCCTGCCTCAGCCTCCCAAGTATCTGAGACTACAGGTGTGGGCCAACACGCCCAGCTAATTTTTTTTTGTATTTTTAGTAAAGTCAGGTTTCACCATGTTGGCCAGGATGGTCTTGATCTCTTGACCTCATGATCTACCCACCTCAGCCTCCCAAAGTGCCGGGATTATAGGTGTGAGCCACTGTGTCCAGCCATGACTTTTATTTTATAGCAGTTTCAAAATATTATGAAATCTAATTAAATTCTCTTTTGTTCTCCAAGATTCTAGGTTCTGTTCCTTCTTTAGAAAAGACTAACCCAAACTAAGATAATTAAAAGAAAATGAATAAAAAGTGTTTCTGTCTGTATTTGTTTTCTATTGCTATTTCTATTTTATAACCAATTGCCAGCACAAACTCAGCAGATTAAAACAACATACATCTAGGACTCATAGTTTCCCTGGACCACGAGACTGAGCACAGCTCAGGTCTTCTGTACAGTGTCTTACAGGGCTCCAATCCAGGTGTTAGCTGGGGCTAGGGTCTCATCTGAGGTTTGAGATCCTCTTCCAAGCTCCCATGGCAGAATTCATTTCCTTGAAGCTGTGAAACTCATGGTGTTTGCGTCTTCAAGGCCAGTAGGAGTGTCTTTGAGGCTCTAAGTCTCTCTCACCTCTAGATCCTCTTCTAAGGAGTCTCCTGATTAGGTCAGGCCCTCCAGGGTAATTTTCCTTTTGATGATCTGAAATGCGCTGATTAGTGACCTTAATTACATCTGTAAAAATCCTTTTGTATTTTCCATTTAACATAACGTCATCATGGTAATGACAAGCATATTCACAGGTCACAGTCATACTCAAGGGGAGGAGATAATATGGGTCTTATACACCAGGTGTTGGGAATTTGGGGTTCATCTTAGAATTCTGCTACCACACTGCTTTTAAATAGTACTGTTTTAAAAATTGCTTTATTTTCTAAGAAGGCTTAGAATTTTAATAAATATATATGATGTCAAGTAGGTACAAGAACTTCTATTATAACATGATAAAGTTTTTCTGAACACCTTCATATTCTACAAAAGCACACACTAAAAATCACAGGGTTATGGGAAAATCAAAGTTAAGGAAAGACCACTCAAAACCTAAGCTACTTTGCAACCAGAGCACTAAAAAGACAATAAGAATCCTAATAAAGCTACTAGCACAGTTTAAATGACCGTTTAAATGCTCAATAAATAATGATATATTGTAGCATATATAGAGGTCTACCTAACAGAGAAAAAACTGAGCATAGCTTAATTGTTGAAGAGTTAAAAAAAAGATGGAGGCTGCTAAGTACAGCAATAATGGAAAATGTGCAAAGACTGGGGAAGCCTTACCATGGGTATGTTACCAAACTAAGCTAAGAGAAAAATATACAGTGAAGAAGCACTGAATATAGAATTGTGTCCCTTTGCAGATTGTACATTCAGCTGTTTTAGCATATGTTGTGGTCAGCTGCTGTTCATTGGTTGTAAAAACTTTAATTTCTTGGAAACCCTTGAATACGAACATGACTTCACATTATATTGACCTGATTCCTTTATTTATCAATAGTGTATGAGCTAATTTGTATTACAGAAACTCATGTTGTAACTAAAGACACTGCCGTAATTAAAATTTGTGTTCCATTATTATATAACACTATTTATTGAATAGTCTATCATTTCCTCTCCAGTTGATTTTTTTTGGGGGGGGGTCTGGGTGGGTGGAGTCCTACTCTGTCACCCAGGTTGGAGTGCAGTGGTGAGATCTTGGCTTACTGCAACCCCTGCCTCTCAGGCTCAAGTGATTCTCCTGCCTCTGCCCTCCCAGTAGCTGGGATCACAGGCACTCACCACCACGCCCAGCTAATTTTTGTATTTTTAGTAGAGACAGGGTTTCACCATGTTGGCCACACTGGTCTGGAACACCTGACCTCAGGTGATCCACCCACCTGGACCTCCCAAAGTGTTGGTATTACAGGTGTGAGCCATCACGCCCGGCAGATATTGTTTTTAATTTGGCTTTTATTTAGAAAGTATACATACACATAGTCAAATCATTTTACAAGACTTGTTACAAATGATAGCAGTCCTATGTATCCACCACCATTTTCCTGCTCCCTGGGGCAACCATTGCAACGATTTTAGTTGATTCTTTTGGTATGTATCTTCGTATTTCTACATGCTTATATTGCTGTTTCTTTTTTTCTCTTCCAGTTTGAGCGATTATCTATTGACTTGCTATTAGAGAAGATGAAGATTTAGCTCATGTTCACTCCTCTGTCTGGTATCTAAAACACTACCCCCTCACCACTCATTCTGCCATCCTCCCAATAGAATTCTACTGTAGTTTTTGTTTAGGCTACATATAGTTTTGACTTTGGTACGGCTGTATAAATGCAAATCATAACCAGCCGGTGAAGTTGCCAGTGGTTATTTTTTCTTTCTTGCCCAACATCTTGTATTACCTAGAGTTATTATTATAAATAACAACTTTTAGAAGAGCAGAAGATCAAACACCGCATGTTCTCACTCATAGGCGGGCGTTGAACAATGAGAACACATGGACACAGGGAGGAGAGCACTGCACACTGGGGTCAGTTGGGGGGAAAAAGGGGAGGGACGGTGGGGGTGGGGAGTTGGGGAGAGATAGCAAGGGGAGAGAAGCCAGATGTAGGTGATGGGGAGGAAGGCAGCAAATCACACTGCCACGTGTGTACCTATGCAACAATCTTGCATGTTCTTCACATGTACCCCAAAATCTAAAATGCAATAAAATAAATAAATGGAAAAAAATAAATAACAACTTTTTTTCTGTTTTATTTCCATGTACATAGGAATACAATCCTAAACTTTCCTCCAGGTAGGTAAATCTCTGGTTTATTTTTTGTCTTACATTTCATGTATTTAAAGTTTGCTTTGTCCATTAAAGAAGAGGCTGTAGATTAAATTTACCAAATGATGATGTCACTCTTTTCACATCAAATTCTTATGAATGACTAGGTGATATTTTGTATGGTTCATGTGTGTTTATTTACAGTCACGTTTTTCCAACACAAATTTGAAGTGACTTGCTATTTAATTATTATAAGCTTACAGTTTAGAAGGATTTATCCAATGTAAACATCACAAAGAAATTACTACAATATTGATTTGCAGTAGCTTTGAAACAAAAGAAAAGAAAAGAAAAAAGAAATGACTACAGTAGAAGCTACAGTAGATGGTAATATTCCCAGGACACTGAGAAGTTGGTATCACCCTCCCATTTCCCAGTTTCCTATTTTGTTCTTGTTTTGTAAACCCATTTCAAAGACCCACTGGTTGCAGAAAAGGAAGAAATGTTTGTCCAAGTTCACAAGGTAGATGGAAGCATGAGGTGACGAAGAGAAATAAATTCTGGCTAATCTGCCAAATCTATCTGGGAGCCTGTTTTTGTACTGCCAGAGCACTAAGAAGGGTTTTTATGTTTTTAAAAATATTTCATAAAACAAAACAAAACAAAAGCAAAACCCTCCAAATAAAGACATAGGCCCTATGTGGTCACAAAGCCTGAAATATTTACTATTACTTGACCCTTTACAAAAAAAGTTTGTCGACTCCTACTTAAGAGCTCAAGATCTAGAATCAGACAGACCTGGGTTTGGAACCTAGTGAGACCTAAGTAGATTACTAATGTCTTTGAGCCTCGGTTTCCTCATCTGTAAAATGGGATTGATGTGAGGATTGAATGAAGTTGGGTTGCAGAGTCCTCCTCACAGAGCCTGCTAAGTGTTCAACATAGAAGCTTATCTAATTTTATTGTTTTTATTGGAGCAAAGTCTCTTGATACTTTCTAGATCAGGCTACTCCCATCCCTGGCTGGATCCCCAGAGGTGTCATCATCTCCGTGTATTGATGGTGCCATGGCCTTTCTCCTCACCCTGCTCCCAGCCATAATCAGGCAATCACTTTGGCCCTAGCACCTAATCAAACAATTTTGCTATTTCACATTCAAACACTCTGTGCTTTTCAGATTATTCTGTGAAACCCATATATTTTCATTAAGAGTTGATAATAAACTCTAGCACTGAGAGTTTTTCCAAGTTCATGATTGATGAAAATGTGATAGGGAGCTGAGTGGCTCCAGTCGCCAGCTCAGGCGAGAATCTGCTTGGGGCAATTGCAGAGCCTCCCAGCAGCACATTCCAAAACCTTCAGCTTCACTGCCTGCCCAGAGCCATCTGGAGAGGCCCCCTCCTCCAGTCATGATTTGCAGAGTAAACAGACTGAGCATTTGGCAACTTTCTATTTCCTTCTTGTAGTGCTGCTCTGGAGGCAGAGTATCCTGGCAGAAGGCAAGTTGCGACCATAATCCAGAAGGCTTGGAAATGTGGTCTTTATTTTAATGCAGTTCAGTGGTAGTGAAAGATGAAATCTGTGAATTCTTTCTTCCTTGCTTTTCCATTTTTTTTTTTTTTTGGGCTTCTTTGTCTTTTTCTCTTAAAACTTGCCAACACTCTGAAATCTGAGTTTCTTGAATTCTTGAAGCAGGATAGAGAGAGTCCCTTTCAAATCTGTTCCAGGAGCTGAGATGTGACAAGAGCTGAGAGAAGCCAGAGGACCCAGGATCCCCACTGCTGGACAACTAGATGTTTTGGGGATGAGTGGCTATTGCCCTGTCCTAGGAGCATCGCAGCTTTAGCAGAAGCAGGATGCTCCCACACCTGTGTATTCCAGCTGCAGGCTAGCCTCTGTAGTAAGTCAATGCCTGGTAGTAGGTCCTGAACTGTTTGGAAGGATACTCCTCCCCTCTGCCAAAGTAGGAAAGACCTGGGAGGTTGCAGGGAGCTCTGCCCACTCGCTACTCAGAAACAGAGCCACTTGGACAGAAAGTCAGAGGCAAATAGAAATGGGTGTTGCAAAGAATGTCAATGACCACACACATTTTGGGAGTGAGCCTAGCACTAAGTACTAGGATGAAGATGGCAACTGCCATTTTTTGCCTTTCAGCTCAGTATCACAGTACCAGAACAGAGAAGCTTTGGGAGGTGAAGAGCTTAGTGATCCCCAGCAAAGGAGATGAGAGTCTAAGTGTGGGTGTCATAAAGTTCTGGTTTAAGAGGGGATTGTTTTTTTGGGCAAGGAGTGCTTGGTCCTTCCATTATGCTCCCTGGTGGGGCTTGTGGGCTGTGCAAACAGTCTGGGGCCCCTCCCTCCTCCAGGAATGGGACTACTTGCGTCAACTTTACCTCCATCTGTGAGGCCAACCCAGATCAACTGAGGGAATATATGTTTGGCCTTGATTTTTGCTGACTGATAAATTCTGTTCACAGACAACCCAGAGGTGTTTATATGGAGTTTGGAGTGATGGAAGCTGATTGGAATTTGTGTCTGTTTTTTTTGTTTGTTTGTTTTGTTTTTTAATTCTAAAACACCTTATTTTTCTGAAAGGTTTTTCAATGCATATTTTTTTCTTCCAGTTAGATTTTCATTCATATGTGTGCCAAGTCACACATCCCTAAGGTGCCAAAACAGTTAACAGTCTACCTTTGCCTTTCCTTTCCATAGATTAGATGAGAACGGAGAAGATTTGCTTTTTTGGTCTTCCTAGCAAAACCTTGGCTCTGCCTTTAGGAAGTCAGTGAACAGAATGAAAATGGGAGAGCCTTTTATTGTTCCATCCGGATCAAGGATAACGGATATAGGGTGAGACCATGAAGTACTGGCAAAGAAGGCAGCAAAACCTGGAAGCTGGTGTTGCCTGTCAAAGAGGGCCACCATCTTGCTTTGGGATATCAGCATTTCCTTCTCTCAATAGTTCTAAGACCCTAAACTAGACCCCACTTTTGTGTTTAGCTTACCCATCTCTGGGCTATCCTGGGTTACCTTTTCCTTTCTCAAGTCCCTTCTACTGAGGGGCTGAGGGCTGATGCTAAAGAGAAAGGGGAAGAGTTAATAGAGCAAATGTCCTTAACTTTAAAATTAAACAACCCTTTCCCATTCTCATATCCTTCCATCCCCTCTCTCATGCAAATCTCATCTCTTCCATAGCCTAGTGGAAGGATAATGTGTTTTCTCTTGCTTATATACTCTTGTTTTTGTTTTTTGTTTTTTAATGTTTCTTCCATCAAAAGGAAAGGATTTCTCACTTAGCCTAAAGTGTGAATGGTTGATAGCTCTGCCCTAGAAGTCTTGAACAGAAAGACAGATGTTTAGAAATTAATCTCACCTTCACCCAGTGTTGACATTTCTAGAGCTGCTCCTGTTTTATGCAGCAGTGATATCGGAATTAATCGAGAGAGTTGCAAAGGGGAATATTTACTGGACTCCTTTGCACCAAACTAGTCTTATCATTTACTTCTGTGAAATGTAAGGACATGTTTGTCTTTTTGATGCATAATTAAATTGCTTTTTTTTTTTTTTTTGAGACCCATGCTCCGTCACCCAGGCTGGAGGGCAGTGACGCAATCTCCACTCACTGCAACCTTTTTGAGACAGGATCTCCCTCTGTGATGGCTAATGTTGAGTGTTAACTTGATTGAAGGATGCGAAGTATTATTCCTGGGGTTGTCAGTAAGGGTGTTGCCAAAGGAGATTAACGTTAGAGTCACTGGACTGGGAGAGGCAGACCCACCCTCAACCTGGAGACACCATCTAATCAGCTGCCAGTGTGCTAGGACAAAGCAGGCAGAAGAAGGTGGAAGGGGTGAATTTGCTGAGTCTTCTAGCCTTCCTCTTTCTCCCATACTGGATGCTGCCTGCCCTCAAATATCAGAGCCCAAGTTCTTCAGCTTTTGGACTCTTGGACTTACACCAGTGATTTGGCAGGGGCTCTCAAGCCTTCACCCACAGACTGAAGGTTGCACTGTCAGCTTCCCTGCTTTTGAGGTTTTGGGACTTGGGCTGATCCACCACTTGCTTCCTTGCTCCTCAACTCACAGACAGCCTACAGTGGGACTTTACCTTGTGATCATGTGAGTCAATTCTCCTTAATAAACTCCCTTTCATATATACATACATCTTATTAGTTGTGTCCCTCTAGAGAACCCTAATACATTCTCTGTTGCCCAGGCTGGAGCACAGTGGTGTGATCACAGCTCACTGCAGCCTTGACCTCCTGGGCTCAAGCAATCTTCCCCCCTCAGCCTCCTGAGTAGCTGAGATCACAGGCATGTGCCACCATGCCCAGCTAATTTTTAAAAATCTTCTGTAGAGAGATGGTCTCACTGTGTTGTCCAGGCTGGTCTCAACCTTCTGGCCTCAAGTGATTCTTCCATCTCAGTCTCCCAAAGCTCAGGGATTACAGGTGTGAGCCACCAGCTCCAGCCTTAAATTGTTTTAAATCGTAGAGCATAGCAAACCAAAGACATTTTTATAGAATGAATGGAGTAAACCACAACTCTTACAAATTTTTCTTGGGAGCTCTCAAACTCTCTAAAATGGACATTAAATCATCTGGGGGCACTTGTTAAACCAAAGGTGGCCAGGGCCCAGGATTTTGCATTTCTAGCAAGTTCCTAAGTTTTGCTAATGCTGTGATCAGAAGATCACACTATGAGAACTAGCTCATTAAAAAGTTTATGGAATCTACAACTTGATTTATTTTCTTAACAAATCCCATGAAGTGCCTTGTTCTCTTGAGTGCATCTGAAAATATTCCCAGAGGACACATCTTTTCCTTTCACTTATGTAAGAAATAATTTAGGTACCAAACTGAACATTAGTGTGGCTGACTTTGCAGCTGCTCTCCAGAATGTGGCTGCTTGGGTCTGCCTGCATGGAGGCCTGGCTGGAAAATGGACCCCACTAGTGGGAGGGCTTCTAGAGGCCTAAGGAAGGGGTGGTGTGCTTGTTCCCTTCCCAGCCATTGACAGGATTGCCTGGGAATTCCTGACATTTTCTCCTTGTCACGCCCAAAGTAACTTTCTTTATCTGGCACCGTCTTAAGGGAAGGTGGGGCCAGCAGGAGGAGAATGAGGATTTGGTCCCTGCCAAAGGTTTTGGAGTGGGATTTTTTAAAAACACAATTGGGTGCTTTCAGACTGTATTCTTCATGCTTCACTCTTTTAGTGGCCAGTGAGAAAATACAAAGCTCAAATCACCTTAACTAGAAAAAAAATGCACTGGCTCAGGTAACTGGAAAGGCCAGAGGAAGTCTAGCTAGCTTCAGGCACAGCTGATCCAAAAGCTCCCAAGCTCCTTTCAAATGAGAGCCTTCCATACTTCCAAGATCTATTTTTGCCCAAATTGGCACTACACCTTCCGTCTGAGTGTTCACTGTGGGTGAAGAATTGTCATGGGTACTAGGAAGATAGGTTCCACATATAAAGAAACCTGAAAGAAACAGGAAAGAAAACACTTTCCTTTTTTAATGCTTGCTCCTTTATCATAGATGCGTTTACCTCCTAATTCCTGACTGTTCAATGTCTGTCAATGTTTTGTCACCCATAACCCATGAAACCTTCCCTGATTTCCCAGCTAGTGAGATCTCTTTTTCTGAATACCATTAGCGATTTACTTGTGAGAAGCGGTGGAGCTTAATAGCTGAGTGTCTCTGCTGTAGCAGCACTGCCTGACACTTGCTAGCTGTCTGTCTTTGAGCAATCGCTTCATTTCTCTGTGCCTTAGTTTTCTAATCATAAAATGAAGATAATAAGTTTTCAGAGTTGTGAGAACAAAACCATGGATGTAAAAGTGCTAAGGTGGTGTCTGTTACAGAGAAAATCCTCAACAAATGCTTCCTTTTATTGATTTTTCCTCTGTGCCATTCCCCATTTTGTACTTCGTATTATTGTTTCTGCTAAAAAGCACCCCATTTCCCCCTTTTTACAGGCTAGGTCCCCTTGGCTACAAAAATGTCCTTGCCTGCAACTTGTAGAAGGCGTTATTGACACTATGATGTCTGACAACCTCTTCTAATCGCCAGCTATACCTTGAGTCCAGCATGGTTCAGAGGAGAGCTTGTTGATGGCTACTGCTGGTTTGTACCTCATGTTTTCCTTGTTTTTCAACACCTCTCATTTCTTTCCATGGTAACCACTAGCTCATGGTGAACAGCTTTAGTGGAGCCACAGCATTTACTGTCAACCATTAAGGTAGTAAAACCTTGAGGAGTCCAACCATCCCAGTTTCTTGGCACTGGTAGATTCTTCAAATGCTTCCAAATTCCCATATCCATATGTCAAAACATGGATTTTTATATTATACCTCATGTTTGGTTACAAGAAAGGCAAACTTTTATGTCTCCTCAATAATTTATCCTCAGATCCTGGTTTGAGAAACACTAACTTAAAAAAATAACATTCTGTGGAAATATTTGAATTGCTGAGAGAAATTTTTTCTTTTCTTTTTTTTTTAATTTTTGAGATGGAGTCTTGCTCTGTCACCCAGGCTGGAGTACAGTGAAGCGATCTCGGCCCACTGCAACCTCTGCCTCCCGGCTTTAAG